TTAGTTTTTTTAAAAAATATATATTTTTATTGATTTCTGAGAGGAAAGAAAAGGGAGAGAGAGAGATAGAAACATCAATGATGAGAGAGAATCGTTGATCGGCTGCCTTCTGCATGCCCCACACTGGGGACCGAACCCACAACCCGGGCATGTGCCCTGACTGGGAATCGAATCGTGACCTCCTGTTTCATAGGTTGATGCTCAACCACTGAGATACATCAGCTGGGCTGTCCTTTAGTTTTTGAGTACAGGTCTTTTACTTACTTGGTTAAGTTTATTCCTAAGGCTCTTAAATGTTTTGTTGCAATGGTAAGTGCAATTGTTTATTTAGTTTCCCTCTCTGCGAGTTCATTATTGGTGTATAAAAATGCCACAGATTTCTGGCTGTTAATTTTATAACCTGCTCCATTGCCAAATTAACAAGAGAGCCCACTGCATGGGAGAATATATTTGCCAATGATACATCTGATAAGGGGTTAACCTCCAAAATTTGTAGGGAACTCATACAACTTAACAAAAGGAAGATAAACCATCCAATTAAAAAATGGGCAAAAGACAGTTCTCCAAAGTGGACATACAGAAGGCCAAATGTATATGAAAATATGTCCAATGTCACTATTTATCAGAGAAATACAAATTAAACTGACAATGGGGTACCATCTAACACCTGTCAGAGTGGTTATCATCAACAAATCAACAAACGACTAGTGTTGGCGAGGATGTGGAGAAAAGGGAACCCTTGTACGCTGCTAGTGGGAATCCAGGCTGGTGCAGCCTCTGTGGAAAACAATATGGAGTTTCCTCAAAAAATTAAAAATGGAACTCCCATTTCATCCAGTAATCTGACTTCTAGGAATATATCCCAAGAAATCAGAAACACTCATCAGAAAGAATATATGCACCCCTATGTTCATACCAGTTCAATTTACAGTAGCTAAGATTTGGAAACAGCCTAAGTGCCCATCAGCAGATGAGTGGATTGGAAACTGTGGTACATCTACAAAATGGAATACTATGCTGCTGTAAAAAGGAAGGAATTCTTACCATTTGAAACAGCATGAATGGACCTAGAGAGCATTATGCTAAGTGAAATAAGCCATTCAGTAAAAGATAAATACCACATGATCTCACTCATATGTGGAATCTAATGAACCAAATAAACTGATGATCAAAAATAGACCCATAGTCACAGAAGCATGAACAGACAGTTGAACCTCAGAGGGAAGGCAGGAGAGTGTGGGTGGGAAGAGATCAATCAATGAATTTCTATGCATATATGAATAACCTATGGGCACAAACAATGGGGTGGTGAGTGCCTGGAGGGGTGTTTGGACAGGAGCAGGCAATAAGAGGTTAATGTGGAAAAAAGGAGGACCTATGTAATATTTTCAATAATAAAGATTTTAAAAAAATAGACCTAGAGACATAGAAACATGGAAAAGACTATCAAACCTCAGAGGGAAGGCACAGGAGGGTGGGATGGGGAGGGGAAGAGATCATCTAATGAACTCATATGTGTATATGCATAACCCATAGACACAGACAATAGGGTCATGAAGGCCTTGAGGGGGCGGGGTGGAAGAGGTCAATGGGGGGAAAAGGGGATATATGTAATATTTTCAACAATAAAGGAGATATATATATATTATATATATGCATGCTAGAGGCCCGGTGCACTCGGGGGGGGGGGTGTTCCTCAGCCCAGCCTGTGCCCTCTCGCAGTCTGGGACCCCTCGGGAGATAACAACCTGCTAGCTTAGGCCTGCTCCCGGGTGGCAGAGGGCAGGTCCAATCCCTAGGTGCAGCCCCTGGTCAGGCTCAGAGCAGGGCCGATTGGGGAGTTGGGGCACCCCCCCCCGTCACACACAGAGCAGGGCAGATCAGGGGGTTGGGGTGCCACCCTCTATCACCCACAGAGCAGGGCCGATCAGGGGGTTGGGGCGCCGCCACTGTCACACTCAGGGCAGGGCCGATGGGGAGGTTGTGGCTCTACCCCATGACACACAGAGAAGGGACCGTGGGGGGGGGCACCACCCTCTATCACCCACAGAGCAGAGCCGATCAGGTGGTTGGAGCGCTGCACCCTGTCACACACAGAGCTGCAGGGCGATCAAGGGGTTGGGGAGCTCCCCCCTATCAGGCACAGAGCAGGGCTGATCAGGGGGTTGGGGCGCCTTCCCCTGTCATGAACAGAGCAGGGCAGATAGGGAGGTTGTGGCCCCGCCCCCTGTCACACACAGAGCTGCAGGGTGATCAGGGGGTTTGGGCGCTGCCCCCTGTCAGGCTGATCCAGGTGATGAGAGGCCTCTTGGCTCTGCTGATCCCGGTGCTGGGAGGCATATTACCCTTTTACTATATAGGATAGAGGCCTGGTGCATGGGTGGGGGCCGGCTCTTTTGCCCTGAAGGGTGTCCTGGATCAGGGTGGGGGTCCCCACTGGGGTGCCTGGCCAGCCTGGGTGAGGGGATGATGGTTGTTTGCAGCTGGTCACACACCCTTCAGGGTTGGGGTCCCCACTGGGGTGCCTGGCCAGTCTGGGTGAGGGGCTGAGGGCTGTTTTCAGGCTGGTGGTTGACTGAAGCTCCCAACTGCTCCTTTTTTTCTTTTTTTTTTTTTAATTCTGGGCCAGCTTTAGCTCTGGCTCCAGCTCTGAGGCCTCTGCTGCTGAAAGCAGGTATCTGGTTTGTTTGGGTTCTATAATCAAAACACTGTATCAACTCCAGCTCTGAGATCCCGGCTGGCTGAAAGCAGGTTTCTGGGGTTTTGTTTAGCTTCTATATTTGCAACAATGTTTCAAACTGCAAGCTCAGAGGCCAGCAAGGCAGGCGGGGAATGTTGGTTTCCTCCCTCACTGAAGCAAGCAAGCCTCATGTTAGCTTCAAGCTGCCTGGCTGCCGGTCGCCATCTTGGCTGGCAGTTAATTTGCATATCACCCTGATTAGCCAATGGGAAGGGTAGTGGACGTACGGCTAATTACCATGTTTCTCTTTTATTAGGTAGGATATATCCTTTCTAATAAAAGGATAATATGCAAATTAACTGTCACTCCATCACAAATATGGTGGCGCCCATAGCGGCTAGGGTGGCACACTGGCGGCATTGCCCTGGCAATGCAAGCCCAGTGTTCCATGCCCTGGCCATGCGGAGGGAAGGAGGGGCCTCTTGGAGTTATGCAAGCCCAGAATCCCATGCCCTGATTACACGCAGGGAGGGAGGGGCCGCTGAGGGCGACACGAGACCATCTATATAGATATATAGAGAGAGATATAGATATAGATGATATAGATATATATAGATATAGATAGACATAGAGGATATAGATATAGATAGATATAGATATAGATAGATATAGATATAGCTATAGCTATAGCTATAGATATAGATATAGATATAGATATAGATATAGATATAGATATAGATATAGACATAGAGATAGATAGATGATAGATAGATAGATAGATAGATAGATAGATAGATAGATAGATGATAGATAGATAGATAGATGATAGATAGATAGATAGATATAGATAGATAGATATCTTTAAAAAAAAACCTCAACATCAAAACCAAACAATGGACAGAGTACATGAATAGATATTTTTCCAAAGAAGACATACAGATGACCAATGGATAGATGAAAAGATGCTCAGCATCATTAATCTTTAGGGAAATACAAATCAACATGACAATTAGATATCACCTCACACCTGTCAGAATGGCTATTATAAAAAAGACATCAAGTAACCAGTTTTGGTGAGAATGAGGAGAAAAGAGAACCCTTGTACACTGTTAATGGGTTTATTCATTGATCCAGCAACTACAGAAAACAGTATGGAGGTTCTTCAAAAAATTACAAATAAAGTCCAAAGTAAGTAGAAGGAAGGAAATAATAAAGTCAACTCTTTTAAGAAAACTACTGTACAATGCAGGAATTCCACTTCTGGGTATTTATCTGAATAAAACATGAAACATTAATTAGAAAAGTTACATGCATGTCTGTCTATGGAAGTATTATTTACAATATCCAAGATATGGAATTAACCTAAGTGTTCAATGATAAAATATTACTCAGCCATGACAAAGAATGAAATCTTGCCATTTTCAACAATATGGATGGACCCAGAGGGTATTATGCTAGTGAAATAAGTCAGGCAGGGAAATACTTAATATCAAATGATTTCACTTATATTTGGAATCTAAAATAGCAACACACACACACACACACACAAATAGGAACAGACTCATAGATACAGAGAATGAACTGATGGATGTCAGAATAGAGGGAGCTTGTAGGATCGAGTAAAAAATGATGAAGGGGATTAGAGATAAAAATTCCCACTTATAAAAGAAATAAGTTATGGGGATATAGTATACAATATAGGGAATGTAATCAATAATATTGTAAGAACTTTAGGTAGTAACACAAACACGAATACTTATCATGGTGATCACTTCATAAGGTATATAAATGTCAAATCACTACTTTGTACACCTGAAATGAATATAATATTGTATGTTAACAATACTGTAATAAAAAGGTAAACAAAATTACTCCATAAACTTGCTTGATTTTTTGAGTGAAATACTTTGTATTTCTTTAAAATGTTCATAATTTGCCTGGCCGGCATGGCTCAGTGGTTGAGCATCAACCTATGAACCAGGAGGTCACGGATCAATTTCTGGTCAGGGCACATGCCCAGGTTGAGGGCTGGATCCCCAGTGGGAAGCATGCAGGAGGCAGCCAATCAATGATTCTCTCATCATTGATGTTTCTATTTCTCTCGCCCTCTCCTTCTCTGAAATCAATAAAAATATTAAAATTAAAATGTTCATAATTTAATCTTTTTGTTCTCTATATTATACCTTACATTTACTCTCCATATAGTATTTTAGATAAGCTACAGTTTTTGGCCTTATTTTATTGTAATATTTTAACTTTGCTGTTTGACTACTTGATTCTATAGCCAGCATTTAATGTTTTTTACTATGCTATGTTTCAGGGTCTCCATGAAAAAACTGGTGCATTTACAGCTGTTAAAGTGATGAATGCTCGTAAGGTAATATTATATCCTGTCTATATTTTATTCCCTTAATGGACAATGGTCTAAGGATAAACAGTTAAAAAGAATATTGTTTTTATAAATCATTATGTGTAATTATAATTATGTGAACCTGAATTTATTATATTTATCATTTAATTTTTTCTACCCATTAGTATATTATCTTTATTATTAATTTATTATATTTGAAGGTCAAATGCATTTATTTTGGCATGATGTAAGAATTAAGAAATCATGATTTTATATATATATTTCTAGTTGATTATCTGTTTCCAGGGATATCAAAGAGGAGATTTCTTCTAATATTGTGTTAATCCTTCTGTGCTCCATCATATTATTTTCCCTCTCCAACTATTCTTTTTGAGAATTGAGGCCATTAGATTCTCAATGACAAGTAGAAGTAAAGAACTTGTCTGAGATACAAGTTTTTCTTATATTTTCTGACAGGTGAGCAAGACAGTTTAATTTGCACTGTTCCTGTTAACATTCATAAAGTTGAGCCACAGTTTATAACATATTGTCAGAGAATTTTCTAAGCACTGATTTCTGTCCTCTTTCTTTAGCATGAGTGTCTTACTTTCTCAAGATAATACTAGTATGAACATAGCAAAGGTCAAAGAACTTTCACTTTAATATACAAGGAAAATTCTCAAATAGTATGTTTGAAAATTATGCATAGTCACTGAACTGTTGTCTATGCCATAAACTGTTCTTTTACAATTTGTGCAGGGAGTGAATTGCTGAATCTATTTAAACATTTGCATGCTTTTTTTGTTTTGCCAGTAAGTGTCAAATGTTGCAAACCAATGTGAATTTTAAGGGATTTTAATGTTTTGTGGATTTATTTTGACCTACAAACCTGACATTCCAATAACCAATGTAGTACTATTTGAATGAGACTCCGTAAAGTACTTATTTCCTTATTTTAACTTGAGAGACCTTGACCCACATTTAATTTAATTTTTAGATACTCCAACTTTGAAATATTCAAAAATCATATTCTGCCCATACATAGTGTCAATTACATTATTTTAAAGGGGAAATATCACTTTGTTAACATCAAATTATAATTTCTCAATAGGCAGTTAAATCTGTTATTATGAATTTGGTGCTAAGTTTCTACATATACGAGTGCAATGTTTTAGTTAAACCTATTAGCAAAAAATGAGAGAGGAATAATATTATGTTACTTTTCCATTTAATGCTAAAAGAGCACAAAGTACTAAAGAGTAAATCATGTTCAGAGTGTACCAGTGGTTCTAATAGCATTTTCTTCTTGGTTTTGCAGACTCCTTTACCTGAAATAGGAAGGCGAGTGAGAGTGAATAAGTATCAAAAGTCTGTCGGTTGGAGATACAGTGTGAGTACTAAAAGTCCTCATTAGCCCTCAAGTAGTCTTCCCTCATTTTTCAACTTTAAACTAATCCCTTTGTGTTGTATTATCTTTAGAAGGCCACCACTAAAATATTCTTGTGTGCAAGTGACAACATATTTATACCTTTTCACATATTCACAGAGTCAATCATCATATTTGAACACTAGCATAAGTAGCAGGGCCTAGAATAAATGGTTACTTCAACAAGTCTGTGTTAACTGCAGATGAGTAAACCCATCCTATCTAATAAAAGACAAAAAGGGTAATTGACCGTACCTTCGCTATGCTTCCCATTGGATAATCAGGGTGATATGCAAATTAACTGCCAAGAAAGATGGCGGTTAATTTGCATACATAGGCACAATGATGGGAGGCAAAAGGGGAAGGATGGAAGAATGGTGATCGGAAACACAGGCGGCAGGCAAGAGCCGGATGGCAGGGCAAAGGCGGCCCTGGGGGCCGCCTTTGCCCTGACCCCCAGCCCTGGATCAGAGAACTGGCCGCCTTTGCCTGCCCCCAGCCGGTGATCGCGAAGGGAGAGCCTGGCCGCAGGCACAGTGGCACCCTGGGCACTGGGTGCTCTGCGGCCCCCTGATCTGCGATCGCAAAGGGAGAGCCCCGGGCACTGGGTGTCGCTGTGCCTGCGGCTGTGGCATTCACCCCAGCACCTGACATGCAAAGGTCGGGGATGAAATGACTTTTCCCAACCACATCTGCAAATATCCTGGGGACGGCATCACTGAAGAGTTCACAACAACTCTCTTACTTGGCAAGGAAGAAAAAAGTTGGCAATGGAAACAATCCCTTACATCAAAGTTAAGGTCCCTCTGAGTAAAAAAGAATATTTCCAACGTAAAGGAGGGAGCAGGCAAAAATAATAGGTTCTCATGACTTCCACTGAAGTTTGAGCATATGACAAAGTCAAAATGAACATACAAATTAAAACAGACAGTGGACATTCAAATGACCCGAATCAACTGTTACTGTTTGTCCCAGTAGCAACAATGCTTATGTGATAATATAGTTTAACAAACATACAAAACAAGCCACATGATAAGAGAGGTTTGGCTTCTAAAGTAAATTGAATATGTTCTTTAAAAATTTTCATGTCCTCACTTCTGACTATAATTCTTAATTTTCCAATCAGAAAATTACCCCAGGTGATCCAGTAACATGTAGAACTCCAGTAACCTAACTTATTTAAAAAACAAACATCCCAACCATTTTTAAAATATTTAAATTGATATTTTAGGGTTAAAATTATAGAAGATATTTAGATCCAAATATATTTTCTGAATAGAAAATATTTCAGTTTTTGATTTTAAAAAAAATAAACATAAAAAATATATAAGTGACACATTTTCCCAAGGAACTCTGAATTAGTACCTTTCCCTCTAACTTTCTTCAAATTAAGAGAATCTATGGAGTTCCCTATACTGCACAAGTTTTAATGAAAGAAAATAAGACTTTCTAAGAGCATCAAATACATGTTTTTCTTACTTACAAACATATATACTCTTCTCTCTCTCTCTCTCTCTCTCTCTCTCTCTCTCTCTCTCTTCCCTCTCTCTCTCTAAAATATATTCATACTGATTCAGAGAGGAAGGGAGAGGGAGAGAGATAGAAACATCAATGATGAGAGAGAATCATTGATCGGCTGCCTCCTACATGCCCCGTACTGGGGATCAAGCCCACAACCCGGGCATGTGGCCTGACCTGGAATCAAACTGTGACTTCCTGGTTCATAGGCTAATGCTAAACCACTGAGTCACACCGGCCAGGCTCAATTCTTATTTATAAATTCATTCCAAGGACATATACAGCTTGAAAAGATTTGGAAGTAGTTTCAAAAAAACGAGCTTTTAAGTAACAAGAAAACAGTTATAGAAGAAAGTTTAAATTAAAAGAAAAAAAGTTGTTTAAATTTATTCAAGAGTGGGAACATCCTCCATGAAAATGTGTACCTTGACTGTGGATGGCTGGGAGGCCTTATCACACCTTAGGAATTCAAATGCTTTTTATAATGAAAAGAAAGAGAGTTTCATCTCATTTCTCTCCCAGGGTAAATGTCTGTCAATAGAAGGTGGACATCAATAAAAGGAGGAGCTTGCACAATCAATCCAGAAAGTCAGCAATCTATGAATAATCTAGAACAGAGTATTTATCTCCTCTGCCACACACCCTCCCTCCCAGCCAGTGAGCAAGATAATTACTCTCAAGTCAAGCTAAGTGCCCCCCAGTCACAGTGGCCCAATGCTGACATACAAAGGATACAAATAATTCTCACTCTGGCATAAAAGTGACAACTTTATTGGAAGAAAACCAGATACTGTAAATTTCTCAAAGTATTCCTGAAACATTTTTTAAAGTAATTTTTACTTCTTTAGAAAAAATACATAAATGGCAAACCATCTGTAATAAAAGGCCTATTCTATAAAATTTTACCTGGTCCTACTCATATCTGCAATCATATCATATTTACAGACAAATATATCTATACTAATAAAAGAGTAATGTGCTAATTAGACTGAGAGACCTTCCAGGAGACCTTCCAGATGTTCTTCTGGACAAAGCCATGGTGGCAGGGCCGAGGTAGAGGTGGTTAGAGGCCAAGAGGGGAGGGCAGTTGTGGGTGATCAGGCTGGTGGGGGGCGGGGCCATTGGGGGTAAGCAGACCAGCAGGGGGGCCAGTTGGGGACAAGCAGCCATCAGTGGGGGTCAGTTGGAGGAGATCAGGACAGCGGGGGGGCGGGGGGCAGTTCAGAGTGAGCAGGCCAGCAGGGGGACAGTTGGGGATGAGCAGGCCATTGGGGAGGGAAGGTAGGGGCAAGCAGGCCAAAGGGGGGGGGGGCAGTTTGGTGTGATCAGGCTGGAAGCGGGAGGGGGCAGTGGGGGATGAGTAGGCCAGCAGGCAGAGTGGTTAGAGGCAATCAGGCAGGCAGGCAGGCAGGTGAATGGTTAGGAGGCAGCAGTCCCTGATTGCAAGAGGGATGTCCTACTGCTGGTTTAGGCCCGATCCCTGTAAACTGGCAGTAGGACATCCTTCAAGGGGTCCCAAATTGGAGAGGGTACAGGCCAGGCTGAGGAACACACCCTCCCCTGTGCATGAATTTCGTGCACCAGGCCACTAGTAAAGTATATAACACCCCAGCTGAGTAGCAACAGATGATGGGACAAAGAGAAAATTTCAGCTAAAATCGGCCTTAGCGAGGTCCTTTGTCACACCTTCTACATGGTATTTTGGACAGGCTTTTCCCCCATTATGATCCTAAGAAACTTTGCAATTATATATGAGCCAAATAAGGACTACCTTTTTTTATTGTAAGAACAATAGCAGACAGAAAAACAAGCTGCCAAGCTTAAAAGTCTTCAGATATCTGGTACAGTACTTAAATACAAGAAGGACTGTGAAGATGAAACTTAAAGCTTTTTAACTGCCTTCGAAAACAGCCTCTATGTCTTGAATTTGATGGCTCCAGAATAAAAGCAGGCAAAGAAAAATTTTTCTAATAGACATTGTTGATTTAGATGTTGGTGATCTATCAAAGTATTCTGTGGGCCAAAATCAGAATCCTTGTTCTTATCAATATATCTTTTTTTCTTACATTTCTCCCCTACAGTCAAGTCTCTGGTATTCAAATACTTTCAACCTTTTGTGTCTTAATAAATATGCTCTCAGGGACATTAAAATAACCCTTTCCATTAGCACAGTCACATTTAGAAAATGTTTCTAGTTATATTAAAATGGTATTGATAAACAGCTTCATGATTCTTCTAGAAAGTAGTGGGCTCCTATTTTATTTATAACTACAGGCCCGGTACACAAATTTGTGCACGGGTGGGGTCCCTCTGGGTGGCATGCAGGGATCAGGCTGAAACCTGCAGTCCAACACCGCCTGCAGCTCCTACCTGCTGCTTCTGCTGATCCTGGCCCTTTTGTGCCTGCCATGGGCTCGCACCCAATCAGTCCTGATCAGGAGAGGCTTGTACTGCCACTGCAGCGCTTGCCAGCCATGAGCCTTGAGTCTGGCACCCTCCCAAGGGGAGTGGCCTGTGGGATCGGGCTGAAACCACCTGTCCGACATCCCCCAAGGGGTCCTGGATTGTGAGAGGGTGTAGGCCAGGCTGAGAGACCCCACTGGTGCACGATCGGGCCGGGGAGGGACTGTAGAAGGGCTCTAGAGCATGTGTGGCCCATCTTGCTCAGTCCCAATCGGCCAGACCCCAGCAGCAAGCTAACCTACCAGTCGGAGCATCTGTCCCCTGGTGGTCAGTGCATGTCATAGGAAGCGGTTGGGCAGCCATATCATTAGCATATTACACTTTGATTGGTTGTTCCGTTGTTCTGCCGTTTGCTCTATTTGCATATTGCCCTTTTATTATAGAGGATGTATCTCAGGAGACAAAGCATATCCCAATTAAACAAGTAGTGGTGAATAATAACATGCTTTGGTAGATGAAGAAGCTGTAAAATGTAAAGTATGAAAAATCTAATTGTTTGACCAATTCTGGATTTATCAAACATTTGTGTTAATAAATGTTTTAAATATCTTCCCCAAACCCTCTCTGGTATTCTTTCCATTGGGGAAAATATTTTTATTCTAGAATTGGGTGAAATTACAAAGGAAGTTTTGGCATTCTTGCACTCCCTCTTCTTGAAAAAAAAATCTGTATTTTCAGGCCACTCTGGGATAAGTTGGCCCTAAACCAGGAAATGCTATGTCATCATATTACTGGGATATGTGGACTTTTAAATTACCCACTTGGCCTGATGGTTATAAGGTACTTATGTGTTTCTCACAAGCTCAACTCTGTTGAGAATTTCAAACACACTAATGCTTTCTAAACATATCTGATCATGGTTTATTGGTTTTGGGGAATGTACATTTATGTGGGAAACCCACTCTTAAAAATGTTGTAACCCTAACCGGTTTGGCTCAGTGGATAGAGCGTCAGCCTGTGGACTCAAGGGTTCCAGGTTTGAT